ACCAAAACCTTGCCACGCAAACCCAACGCATCCCCTCATCCCAAAACTGCTTCTTGCAGTGGCCGCACTGGAAGGGCTTGTCCTCTGCAAACTTCTCCACCAGGGATGGACCCCCCGTCTCCTACCGTCTACCCTCTGGCACCGCTGGCAGGCTCTGATGAATCCTCTGGTGCCTCTTCAGGTTACGCTTCTGGCTGCAGGTCTTGCCGCACTCGCTGCACTTGTAGGGCTTCTCACCAGTGTGGACGCGCCGATGGGCAGTAAGGTTACTGTAGTCCCTGAAGGTCTTGGGACAGTGGGCGCAGGTGAAGGGTCGCTCCCCAGTGTGGATGCGCTGGTGGGCAGTGAGGTTCTTCTTCTCCCTGAAGGTCTTGGGGCAGTGGGCGCAGGTGAAGGGTCGCTCCCCAGAGTGAATGCGCTGGTGGACAGCGAGGGTCTTCTTGTACTTGAAGGTCTTGGAGCACTGTGGACAGGAGAAGGGTCGCTCCACAGAGTGGATGCGCTGATGGGCAGTGAGTGTACTGCTGTCCCTGAAGGCCTTGGAGCAGTGGGTGCAGGTGAAGGGTCGCTCCCCAGTGTGGATACGCTGGTGGGCTGTGAGGGTCATCTTGTACATGAAGGTCTTGGGGCAGTGGGCGCAGGCAAAGGGTCGATCCCCAGTGTGGATGTGCTGGTGGGCTGTGAGTGTCTCCTTGTACCTGAAGGTTTTGGGGCAGTGAGTGCAGGAGAAGGGTCGCTCCCCGGTGTGGATGCGCTGGTGGGCTCTGAGGGTCATCTTGTACATGAAGGTCTTGAGGCAGTGGGCACAGGTGAAGGGTCGATCCTCAGTGTGGGTGTGCTGGTGGGCTCTCAGTGTCTTCTTGTACATGAAGGTCTTGGGGCAGTGGGTGCAGGCGAAGGGACGCTCCCCAGTATGGATGCGCTGGTGGGCTGTGAGGTACTTCCTGTCCCTGAAGGTCTTGGGGCAGTGGGTGCAGGCGAAGGGGCGTTCCCCGGTGTGGATGCGCTGGTGGACAATGACATACTTCCTGTCCTTGAAGGTCTTGGGGCAGTGGGCGCAGGTGAAGGAGCGCTCCGCAGACTGGATGTGATGCCTTTCACCGCTGAAGTGTTGGCGACAGGCAAAGGCCTTCTCACTGGTGTGCACGTGCCGGTGTCTCACCAGGTGATCCTTGCGGCCAAAGCACTTGCCGCAGTCGGTGCAGACGAAGGGCCGCTCACTCGTGTGGCTCCGCATGTGGACGGCCAATGCCGACGGGCTCCTGAAGCTCTTGTTGCACTCTGAACATGTTGGGGGGGTCTTCTCCAGCGGCCGGGGGGT